GTGTGTCGTGTACCGGCATGCCTCGGGAACAACTGTCCTCAGTTTCCGCTCTGTAGCTAACCTGTACGGTTCTGTTCTGTGCTTTAAAAATGTTTAAGATTATCAACTCACCCTCCGCATGTGAGGTTCGCTCAGTGATACGGTTTTTGTCAGCAAGGAACCTGCCTGCTGCAGAAATTCATCGACAGATTTGTGAAGTGTACGGTGATACTGTTATGAGTGAAAGCAAAGTGCGTACGTGGGTATAACAATTCAAAGATGGCCGTGACAACGTCCATGATGAGGACCGCAGTGAACTCTTGGTTATCGGAGCAGGCGGCAAGTTTTTATAAAGAGGGTATTTTAAAATTGGTTCAGAGGTATGATAAGTGTCTGAACAAACTTGGCAACTATGTTGTAAAATAGAGTGAAGTATGTACTTTCTGAAAATAAATTTACTTTTTTGAAATAAACTTTCGTTGTGTACTTATGTTCAAACGGACCTTACTTAAAAAATACCCCTCGTATAAAGCCTTTCATCTCTCATGAAGCGAAAGAAAAACATTCCGTTTGCTTTTACAACCAGATAAGGATTTCTTATCCCTCTTTTTCTGCAGGTGACCTTGGGTGAACTTGAGAATTTTCCCTTAGTTTATAAAAGTCTTGTCTTCTATCTTCAATTTCAGTAACTTCTGCACCTGACAAGTCATCCCCAGAAGACAGATTCTCAGAGAAAGGCTGCTGTGGGCCCCTTTCAGGAATTTAGCCTTGGGAATCTCCAGGAGAAGCACTCAGTTCAAGAAATACTTTGGGTCTCTCAGCAAGGCCACAGCCAGGTCTTTCAACAAGGCCAGGAAATCCATCATCCCCATTGACACAGTCATGTCCAACTCTGGGGGGCGGTGCTCATCTCCAGTTCTAAGCCGAAGAGCCGGCATCTGTCTGTAGACACCTCCAAGGTCATGTGGATGGATTGATGGATAGATAATAGATAGATAGATAGACAGATAGATAGATAGATAGATAGATGTCTTAGAGGATGGATGGATGAGTCGCCGCTCCAGGCTGATAAATGCGGTATACAAATGGAGTAAATAAATAAATAAATAAATGTCTCAGTGAAAGAATGGATTGATGGATGGATAGATAGATGACTCAGTGGATGGATGGATGGATGGATAGATGATAGATAGACAGATAGATAGACAGATAGATAGATAGATGTTTTAGAGGATGGATGGATATCTCAGTGAAAGAATGGATGGTTGGATACATAGATGTCTCAGAGTGCTCATCTCCATTTCTAAGCTGGAGAGCTGGCATTGTCTGTAGACACCTCCAAGGTCATGTGGATGGATGGGTGGATGGATGGATAGATAGATGACTCAGTAGATGAATAGATGGATGGATGGATGGATGGATGGATGGATAGGTAGGTAGGTAGGTAGGTAGGTAGGTAGGTAGATAGATAGATAGATAGATAGATAGATAGATAGATGATAGATAGATGTTTTAGAGGATGGATGGATGGATACATAGATGTCTCAGAGGGTTGGTGCTCATCTCCATTTCTAAGCTGAAGAGCTGGCATTGTCCGTAGACACCTCCAAGGTCATGTGGATGGATGGGTGGATAGATAGATAAATGACTCAGTAGATTGATGGATGGATAGAAAGATATATATATATATATATATATATATATATATATATATATAGGATGGATGGACATCTCAGTAGATGGATGGATACATAGATGTCTCAGTGTCCGACTCTGGGGTATGATGCTCATCTCCATTTCTAAGCGGAACCGCTGACATTGTCCGTAGTAGATAGGTCAATAGATGGGGATGGATGGATGGATAGATGGATGGATGGATGGATAGATAGATAGATAGATAGATAGATAGATGGATGGATGGATGGATGGATGGATGGATGGATGGATGGATGTTTTAGAGGATGGATGGATGGATGTCTCAGTAGATGGATGGATGGATGGATACATAGATGTCTCAAGTCCAACTCGGGGGGGGGGGGGGGATTTCCATTTATAAGTGGATGGATAGATAGATAGATAGATAGATAGATGGATGGATGGATGGATGGATGGATGGATGGATGGATGGATGTTTTAGAGGATGGATGGATGGATGTCTCAGTAGATGGATGGATGGATGGATACATAGATGTCTCAAGTCCAACTCGGGGGGGGGGGGTGTCATTTCCATTTATAAGTGGAAGAGCTGACATTGGATAGATAGATAGATAGATAGATAGATAGATAGATAGATGGATAGATGGATAGATGGATAGATGGATGGATGGATGGATGGATGGATGGATGGATGGATGGATAACTCAGTAGATGGATGGATAGATGGATGGATGGATGTCTTAGTGGATGGATGGATGTCCCAGAGTCCAACTCTTGGGATTGGTGCTCATCTCCATTTCTAAGCCGAAGAGCCGGCATTGTCTGTAGATGCCTCCAAGCACATGTGGACAGCATGATAGCATGGAGCGCCGTTACCTTCCCACAGAAGCAGTACCTATTGATCTACTCACATCTGCATGTTTTCAAACTGCTAGGTTGGCAGTGGCTGGAGCTAACAATAGGAGCTCACTGAGCCCCGCGGATTTGAACTGCTGACCTTTTGGTCAGCAAGTTCAGCACCTTCATGGTTTAATTCGCTGTTTAGACCTTAGCCAGGGCTATATTTAAAGTGCACTCAACCTTGAATCCATGCATGTTCATCAGAAGGGTTGCAGGATATCACCCAAGGAGCTGCCAGTTGGAGCGAGAGGATTCCCAAGCACTAAGTTAGGTGGCTGAATCTATAGAGCTTCAGGAAAGCTTAGTGGGCTGCACCCACACCTTACCTCTCTGCCAAAAAAATGACTTTTAGATTGGCTTGCATATCACACACTAAAATCAATAATTTCTCATCAGGAACCCAGTGTATGCATTTGCTCCTTTCTCTTGCAAAACAAATCTGATGCCTGACTTTCAACAATTACAGGATCAAAACCTTATCATCAAGACTGGAGTCCCAGGTGCCTATACGCGTACCTTCCCATATACAAATCAACCTATGCTTTGAAAGGACAACAAAAAGGTCAACAGTTGGGGTTTTCCAAATCTAAGGGTATTTCGTTTCCCGATGAGGTCAAGTCCAGAGGCCTGGGGGAACCAACCGGCTCTAAGTGATGCTATTATTTATCGTGTCAGAAGCAAATTGAGGGTTAACTTGTAATGTATTTTAAAACACAAACAAAGTTAAAATCTTGGTATAGCCATCTTGAAACCAGGCAAAGACTATAATGATCCGAAAAGCTATAGACCAATCTCCTTGAAAATGGGTTAACTGATGATTTAGAAAAGATTGTGGGCTCTAAAATGATGAGCCCCCAAGTTTGGGAAATTCAGGTTTGGGAAATGATGGTTCTCTTTGTGAAAAACCAACTCAGAAAGTGCAGGGCTTCAAGGCCAGTCAGAAAGATTAGCCAGAAGTAGCAATGGCGGATAAGGAATCAAGTGGAGAGCTGTGTGATTAAGAGGGTTCCCAGGAGAAACTACATTTAGCTACGGAGATCAACAAAAGCCTTCATTTACAAACCAGAGCTGAAAATAGATTATGCAGCTCAGAAAGATTAGCCAGAAGTAGCAATGGCAGATAAAGAATTGAGTGAAGAGCTGAGCGATTAACCATCTATAGCTACGGAGATCAACAAAAGTCTTTATTTACAAATCAGAGCTGACAATAGATTATGTTGGTTGGAAAGATTAGCCAGAAGTAGCAATGGCAGATAAGGAATCGAGTAAAGAGCTGAGTGATTAAGAGGGTTCCCAGGAGAAACCACCTGTAGCTATGGAGATCAACAAAAGCCTTCATTTACAAACCAGGGCTGAAAATAGTTTATGCAGCTCAGAAAGATTAGCCAGAAGTAGCAATGGCAGACAAGGAATCGAGTGAAGAGCTGAGTGATTAAGAGGGTTCCCAGGAGAAACCACCTATAGCTACGGAGATCAACAAAAGTCTTCATTTAGAAATCAGAGCTGAAAATAGATTATGTTGGTCGAAAAGATTAGCCAGAAGTAGCAATGGCAGATAAGGAATCGAGTGAAGAGCTGAGTGATTAAGAGAGTTCCCAGGAGAAACCACCTATAGCTACGGAGATCAACAAAAGTCTTCATTTACAAATCAGAGCTGAAAATAGATTATGTTGGTCGAAAAGATTAGCCAGAAGTAGCAATGGCAGATAAGGAATCGAGTGAAGAGCTGAGTGATTAAGAGAGTTCCCAGGAGAAACCACCTATAGCTACGGAGATCAACAAAAGTCTTCATTTACAAATCAGAGCTGAAAATAGATTATGTTGGTCGTAAAGATTAGCCAGAAGTAGCAATGGCAGATAAGGAATCGAGTGAAGAGCTGAGTGATTAAGAGGGTTCCCAGGAGAAACCACCTATAGCTACGGAGATCAACAAAAGCCTTCATTTACAAATCAGAGCTGAAAATAGATTATGCAGCTCAGAAAGATTAGCCAGAAGTAGCAATGGCAGATAAAGAATTGAGTGAAGAGCTGAGCGATTAACCACCTATAGCTACGGAGATCAACAAAAGTCTTCATTTACAAATCAGAGCTGAAAATAGATTATGTTGGTCGTAAAGATTAGCCAGAAGTAGCAATGGCAGATAAGGAATCGAGTGAAGAGCTGAGTGATTAAGAGGATTCCCAGGAGAAACCACCTGTAATTACGGAGATCAACAAAAGCTATCATTTACAAATCAGGGCTGATCAGAAAGATTAGCCAGAAGTAGCAATGGCGGATAAGGAATCAAGTGGAGAGCTGTGTGATTAAGAGGGTTCCCAGGAGAAACTACATTTAGCTACGGAGATCAACAAAAGCCTTCATTTACAAACCAGGGCTGAAAATAGATTATGCAGCTCAGAAAGATTAGCCAGAAGTAGCAATGGCAGATAAGGAATCGAGTGAAGAACTGAGTGATTAAGAGGGTTCCCAGGAGAAACTACCTGTAGCTACGGAGATCAGAGCTGAAAATAGATAATTAAGTGGAAAAGTTGGGGAGAAAATTCATGGGAGACGTACTGCTTTCATGGGTGTTAACCTTAAGCTCAGTCCAGGCAACACTGCGTTAGAGTGAGACTCTAATCCTCAATTCTCTTGTTCCTGGTTCAAGTCAAGCCTTGGTTCTGGATTTTAATATCCTGGAAGTTTTCTATATTCTTGTTCATGTATTCTTATTCAAGTTTTTGCTTGGGGACAGATGCCGTACCTGTAATTTCTGGCTCTTCCTGGACTTTGCTACCTTTGGAACCTTATAAGACATTTGGATCATTGGCTGGTTAGTCCTATTGCTATGTAAACCTTGCACTTTTTATGTAAGCCACAGGGTTTAATAACTGATGTAACAAGAAGACTCGATGTGCAACAATAGACTCACCTTGGCATTGACCAAAATGCTTCACCTCGATGACCTGCCCTTGCCGGCAAGCGATGGTTCTCAGCTGGCACTGGTCACCGTAAGTCACTCCATCGGAGCCACAGACCTAGAATGTACACACAGAGAGAGAGAGAGAAGGAAGGAGGGAAGGAGAAACAGAATGGTGGTTAATCCCTTTGTCCACCCCTGCACTGTGTCCTGAATCTTCCTTGAAACATTTCCATCTTTCTCATACGAGGGTTGAATGAAAAGTAATGCCTCCACCTTTGTAACTCAACAGATGGCAATAGTAATATGCAGCAGGTATTGGCTTGTTCAGTAGACTCTCCTCTACAGTTCCATTTTGGCAGGAAGCCTTAGCAGAAAAAGTAATGCCTCCCCCTTCGTAACTCCTCAACAGATGGCAGGACTGGTATGCGGCAGGTACTGGCTTGTTCAGTAGACTCTCCTCTACAGTTCCATTTTGGTGGGAAGCCTTAGCATTGAATGGTTGTGTTGTAATGCCTCCACCTTCGTAACTCCTCAACAGATGGCAGTACTAGTATGCGGCAGGTACTGGTATGTGCCAGTACCTGCCGCATACCAGTACTGCCATCTGTTGAGGAGCTACCAAGGTGGAGGCAGGTTACAGACTCTCCTCTACAGTTCCATTTTGGCAGGAAGCCTTAGCAGAAAAAGTAATGCTTCCACCTTCGTAACTCCTCAACAGATGGCAGTACTGGTATGCGGCAGGTACTGGCTTGTTCGTAGACTCTCCTCTACAGTTCCATTTTGGCCTTTAGGGTGACACCTTCTGCTGTCAAGAATTCAATGACTGCACGTTGCTTAAGTCGCATTGACTGACCGTCTGCGCAGGGTTCCATACTTTGCACTTTAACAACACAACCGTTCAATGCTAAGGCTTCCCGCCAAAATGGAACTGTAGAGGAGAGTCTACTGAACAAGCCAGTACCTGCCGCATACTCCATCTGTTGAGGAGTTACGAAGGTGGAGGCATTACTTTTCATTCAACCCTCGTAGTTTGTCCCCTTGCTTACCTTCCCCATGTTCTCCTCTGTGCAAACAGGACACTCGCAGTGTGCCGAACCGTTGATTTCCACACACGACGCCCCGAACTCACACGCCATTTCCTCACAGGACGAAGGCGCAGACGGGTCTGTGGAGAAGAGTATATACAACACTGAGCCGATCTCTGGATTGAGCCCTGTTATTGTGCTTGTTGGGAAGGTGTAAACAAAGTTAGGGAAATATACGATGCACAATCCTTCCAGCCGTTTCCCGGACCAGTACGAGAACCACACACTTCCCTTTCCTCCTGATACTCACCTTTCTCACAGCCCGACATCCCCAGTTTGCTCCCATTGGGACACTGGTTGCATTTCATGCCCGTGATGCCTGTCTTACAGGAACACAAGCCGGTCATCTGCTCGCAGTCGTCCCGCACGGAACCTACAGGATCGCAGTGACACGCTTCATGGGGAGACAAGGAAGAAAACGTAGTTAGAACGTGGGAACATTACCAAGCCTTCTGTAAAATTGGAAGGGGTCTCAAAGACCTTTTACTCCAGTGTTTCTCAGCCTTCAAAGCTCACTACTTGAGCGGTGATGGCATGATCGTCAGCATAGATCAGTGTTTCTCTACCTTCCTAATGCCGCGACCCTTTAATATAGTTCCTCATGTTGCGATGACCCCCAACCATAACATTATTTGTGTTGCGACTTCACAACTGTCATTTTGCTCCTGTTATGAATCGTAATATTTGATATGCAGGATGTATTTTCATTCATTGGACCAAAATTGGCACAAATTTGAATACTGGTGGGCTTGGTTTTGTCATTTGGGAGTTGTAGTTGCTGGGATTTATAGTTTACCTACAATCAAAGAGCATTCTCAACTCCATCAATGATGGAATTGAACTAAACTTGGCACACAGAACTCCTATGACCAGCAGAAAATACTGGAAGGGTTTAGTGGGCACTGACCTTGAGTTTGGGAGTTGTAGTTCACCTACATCCAGAGAGCACTGTGGACTCAAACAATGATAGATCTGGACCAAACTTGATAAGAATAACACAATATTCCCAAATGTGAACACTGGTGGAGTTTGGGGAAAATAGACCTAAACATTTGGGAGTTGTAGTTGCTGGGATTTATAGTTCACCTACAATCAAAGAGCATTCCGAACCCCACCAACAATGGAATTGAACCAAACTTGGCACACAAAACTCCCATGACCAACAGAAAATACTGGAAGGGTTTGGTGGGCTTTCATCTTGAGTTTGGGAATTGTAGTTCACCTACACCTAGAGAGGAATGTGGAGTCAAACAATGATGGATCTGGTCCAAAGTTGGCACGAATACTCTACGTGCCCAAATGTGAACACTGATGGAGTTTGGGGAAAACAGACCTTGACATTTGGGAGTTGTAATTGCTGGGATTTATGATTCACCCACAATCTTGAGTTTGGGAATTGTAGTTCACCTACATCTAGAGAACTGTGGACTCAAATAATGATGGATCTGGTCCAAAGTTGGCACGAATACTCAGCGTGCCCAAATGTGAACACTGATGGAGTTTGAGAAAAACAGACCTTGACATTTGGGAGTTGTAATTGCTGGGATTTATGGTTCACCTACAATCTTAATTTTGGGAATTGTAGTTCACCTACATCTAGAGAACTGTGGACTCAAAGAATGATGGATCTGGTCCAAAGTTGGCACGAATACTCAGCGTGCCCAAATGTGAACACTGATGGAGTTTGAGAAAAACAGACCTTGACATTTGGGAGTTGTGGTTACTGGGATTTATGATTCACCCACAATCTTGAGTTTGGGAATTGTAGTTCACCTACATCTAGAGAACTGTGGACTCAAAGAATGATGGATCTGGTCCAAAGTTGGCACGAATACTCAGCGTGCCCAAATGTGAACACTGATGGAGTTTGGGGAAAACAGACCTTGACATTTGGGAGTTGTGGTTGCTGGGATTTATGATTCACCCACAATCTTGAGTTTGGGAATTGTAGTTCACCTACATCTAGAGAACTGTGGACTCAAAGAATGATGGATCTGGTCCAAAGTTGGCACGAATACTCAGCGTGCCTAAATGTGAACACTGATGGAGTTTGGGGAAAACAGACCTTGACATTTGGGAGTTGTGGTTGCTGGGATTTATAGTTCACCCACAATCTTGAGTTTGGGAATTGTAGTTCACCTACATCTAGAGAACTGTGGACTCAAAGAATGATGGATCTGGTCCAAAGTTGGCACGAATACTCAGCGTGCCCAAATGTGAACACTGATGGAGTTTGGGGAAAACAGACCTTGACATTTGGGAGTTGTGGTTGCTGGGATTTATAGTTCACCCACAATCTTGAGTTTGGGAATTGTAGTTCACCTACATCTAGAGAACTGTGGACTCAAAGAATGATGGATCTGGTCCAAAGTTGGCACGAATACTCAGCGTGCCCAAATGTGAACACTGATGGAGTTTGGGGAAAACAGACCTTGACATTTGGGAGTTGTGGTTGCTGGGATTTATAGTTCACCCACAATCTTGAGTTTGGGAATTGTAGTTCACCTACATCTAGAGAACTGTGGACTCAAAGAATGATGGATCTGGTCCAAAGTTGACACGAATACTCAACATGCCCAAATGCGAACAGTGGTGGAGTTTGGGGAAAACAGACCTTGACATTTGGGAGTTGTGGTTCCTGGGATTTATAATTCACCCACAATCTTGAGTTTGGGAATTGTAGTTCACCTACATCTAGAGAACTGTGGACTCAAAGAATGGTGGATCTGGTCCAAAGTTGGCATGAATACTCAACGTACCCAAATGTGAACACTGATGGTTCGCCTACAATCTTGAGGTTGGGAATTGTAGTTCACCTACATCTAGAGAACTGTGGACTCAAGCAATGATGGATCTGGTCCAAAGTTGGCACAAATACTCAATGTGCCTAAATGTGAACACTGGTGGAGTTTGGGGAAAACAGACCTTGACATTTGGGAGTTGTGGTTGCTGGGATTTATAGTTCACCTACAATCAAAGAGCATTCCGAACCCCACCAACGGCAGAATTGGATCAAACTTCCCACACAGAGTCCCCATGTCTTGAACGGACTTGTTGGCACGAGCCTCCCTCCAGCCTCACACGCTCTCCTTCACCTGCACATGCGCATCCAGGGGCAGCTCAACCCATTACGCAAAGTAAGCATTTGCAGTATAGTTGATGTTGCCTAGTGGCGCTCTTGAGGTGCTCTTGAGGGGGAAATAGACCTTAACATATGCAAGTTGTAGTTACTGGGATGTATAGTTCACCTACAATCAAAGAGCATTCTGAACTCCACCAATGATGGAATTGAACCAAATATGGCACACAACTCTACGACAATTTTTGGTGAGAGGATTCACTGTCTGTTTCCAAACAGGAAGAGATGGACAGGCGGGGAGATTTTCAGCCTTCTCTGCCAAAGGGGTTCCTAAGACCATCGGAAATATGTTTTCTGATGGTCTTCGAGGACCTCTCTGAAACCCCCTCGCGACTTCCCCAGGGGTCCTGACCCCCAGGTTGAGAAACACTGATTTAAGGAAATGTTGGTGGGGAGGACTGGGAATGGGTTGGCATTCTTTGGTTCCGTTTACAGACAGAAAAGGGACAGATGGTTTCGGAATGGCGGGGAATTCATCAATCCCCTTCCTGTGTCGCCAGCTCCAATGGTTAATGAGTGATGCTATTAGGCAAACATTCCAATTCCCAGCATGATCTTCAGCATCTCGTTATTAGCTCTCTTCCGGATGTGTGTGTGTGTATGCGTGTTTGTGCGCGCCCGTTGTATAACTTTAATGAGGTAAGCACAATCGGAACCCAAGCGCCGCAGCTCCCAATCCACCGCCGAAGAGATAAAGCCATCTCCGTTTGAGGATTGACGATTCCTCGGAAATTTGGTCCCATCGCTCACGAGAGGAGGGTGGGAAGAGAGGGAGAGATGTCTCTATAATAACTTCACAAACATCGAGAGAGAAATCCGCACGCCCTCGATGTTTGCGATCCCTCCCAAATCACTCTCCCGCCCCTGATAATTCCACCCTCTCTCCCCATTTGCCACCTTATCGATTTCGGTGCTTTTGTCTCCAATGGAGCTTGAAATTAACACATAGCCTCCCGCTTCTCGACTCCCACTCCCTCCACTGCGAAGGCGTTGGTTTTGGGGCATCATAAAGTGATGTTGGCCCCACTCTTGCCATCCTTTTCCAACAGAATCAGCTTGGGAGTATCACACAAAGGAAGGGCAGAAATCGCAAGACACTAGGACGTGTGGGTAGCAGCCGGCGAGCAGAAGGACATTTATAAAGCCCACCAGAGGTTATTAGAAGACCTCGACACCCACCATAAGACCCTCAGGTACATTTACTCAAAGCAAATCCTCTTCCCTTTCATTGGAAAGCAATCTCCAGTGAGTGGTGCGCATGTGCGGACGAGGGAGAGCGTGTCAGGCTGGAGGGAGGCTCGTGCCAGCAAGTCCCTTCAAGACGTGAAGGTTCTGTGTGGGAAGTTTGGCCCAAATCTGTCGTTGGTGGGGTTCGGAATGCTTTTTGGTTGTAGGTGGACTATAAAGCTCAGTAAATACAACATTTTCCAATAGAAATAGTCTGGGAGTATCACACAAAGGAAGGGCAGAAATCGCAAGACACTAGGACGTGTGGGTAGCAGCCGGCGAGCAGAAGGACATTTATAAAGCCCACCAGAGGTTATTAGAAGACCTCGACACCCACCATAAGACCCTCAGGTACATTTACTCAAAGCAAATCCTCTTCCCTTTCATTGGAAAGCGATCTCCAGTGAGTGGTGCGCATGTGCGGACGAGGGAGAGCGTGTCAGGCTGGAGGGAGGCTCGTGCCAGCAAGTCCCTTCAAGACGTGAAGGTTCTGTGTGGGAAGTTTGGCCCAAATCTGTCGTTGGTGGGGTTCGGAATGCTTTTTGGTTGTAGGTGGACTATAAAGCTCAGTAAATACAACATTTTCCAATAGAAATAGTCTGGGAGTATCACACAAAGGAAGGGCAGAAATCGCAAGACACTAGGACGTGTGGGTAGCAGCCGGCGGGCAGGAGGACATTTAAAAAGCCCACCAGAGGTGATTAGAAGACCTCGACACACACATAAAAACACCATAAGACCCTCAGGAACATTTACTCAAAGCGAATCCTCTTCCTTTTCACTGGAAAGCGAACTCCAGTGAGTGGTACGCATGTGCAGGTGAGGCTGGAGAGAGGATCGTGCCAGCAAGTCCTTTCATGTTGTGGTTCACTTTGAGCCTGAGCTTACTGAGCTTGAGTTTCCTCAGGAGGAGGATGGGTTACAGATTTCTGAACCTGCTCCTGTTATTGAGGCAGACAGTGTTGATTCTGAAGAAGAGATGGAATTTCTGTTCCCCAGGGAAAGGAATGTTGTTTTAGATGAGGATAGTGAAACTTCACAGCTGCAGGTGGAAGAGTCGGCCCCATCTGGGTGTTCAGGGCCTCCCGGTTCTCAGGGTGACCAGGCTCAGGATAACAAGGTATCCAGCCTTTAAGATGGAGATTTGATTAGAAAGGACCATTTGAAATTAAGGGCTCGCCGAGGTGCGCGCCTTGCCAACAAACGTGAAATTCGAGGACAATGTAATGCTTTCATGTTGGGGAAACATATTTAACGATCTGATTGAAGTCTTTCCGTTGTCAGTGCAATGTTGCTTGTATCCTGTTAACTTCTCTGAAATTACCTTGGCTTTTGGGGAAAGCTTCTAGCTCTTTGGGACTTTGGTTTTGCCCTTGATTTTTTGGGGACTTTGTCATGCTACCATGGATTCTTGTTTAACCAATGCTAAAGGAATATACTTCATGTTTTCCAGGCTGTACGGCCATGTTCTGGATTTTGGGAACTTTGCCTTTGCATTTAAGACTCTGTTTTGGCTATTGAACTTTTGCAACTTTACTTCTATGTTTTTTATTTTGCTTTTTCTTCAATAAACTACAAATTTTACAGCCTTGGTGTGTGATGATGTCTCTTGAGCAAGGTGAATCTATCCTGAGTTGTGACATTTCAAGACATGGGGTTCTGTGTGGGAAGTTTGGCCCAATTCTGTCGTTGGTGGGGTTCGGAATGCTCTTTGGTTGTAGGTGGACTATAAAGCTCAGTAAATACAACATTTTCCAATAGAAATAGTCTGGGAGTATCACACAAAGGAAGGGAAGAAAATGGAAGACACTAGGACGTGTGGGTAGCCGCCGGCGAGCAGAAGGACATTTATAAAGCCCACCAGAGGTTATTAGAAGACCTCGACACACACATACACACACCATAAGATGCTCAGGACCATTTACTCAAAGCAAATCCTCTTCCTTTTCACTGGAAAGCGATCTCTACTTTGACAACCATTAAAATGTGTGGTGCGCATGTGCAGGTGAGGGAGAGCGTGTAAGGCTGGAGGGAGACTCGTCCCAGCAATTCCCTTCAAGACATGGGGGTTCTGTGTGGGAAATTACACGGCACATATTTTTGATGGCCTTAGGAACCCCTTTGGCAGAGATGGCGTAAAATCTCACCACCAAAAATCCTCCTCCGCTGTGATTGACCCAAGCGGCGAGGGGAGAGCAGGCATGTGGGTAGCTGCCAGCGGGTAGAAGGACATTTAAAAAGCCCACCAGAAATGATTAGAAGATCTTGACACACACACAAACCATAAGACCCATAGAACCATTTACTCACAGCAAAGCCTCTTCCTTTTCACTGGAAAGTGATCTCTACTTTGACAACCATTAAAATGCGGGGTGCGCATGTGCGGGCGAGGGAGAGCGTGTAAGGCTGGAGGGAGACTCGTGCCAGCAAGCCCCTTCAAGACGTGAAGGTCCTGTGTGGAAAGTTTGGTCCAATTCTGTCGTTGGTGGGGTTCGGAATGCTCTTTAGTTGTAGGTGGACTACAAATCCCAGTCACTACAACACGTGAATACGTTCACCATGTTCCAATAGAAATAGGCCAGGAGTATCACACCAGAAAATGGAAGACACTAGGAAAGTGTGCTGTCGAAGACTTTCATGTCTGCAGTCATTGGTTGCTGTGAGTTTTCCAGGCTGTACGGCCATGTTCTAGGCAGCATTCTCTCCTGACATTTCGCTCACATCTATGAGGATGACTGCCATACTCGTAGGCAAAACCTCAGAAGAGAATGCTTCCTGGAATTCACAGCAACCACTAGGACAGTGTTTCTCAACCTCTCAGGACTCCTGGGGGTCGGGTTGGTGCTCTCTATAACCTATGCATGAACTATACATCCCAGGACATACAACTCTTATAAATCATGGTGAATTTTCCCCAAACCTCTCTAGTATGTTCAGTTGCTGATCAATTCCTCTGCTTGATGTGCCATAGAAAAGACTAGGAAAGGGTTTATGAGAGGTGGTGGGCGGGGTCATGCAAATTCCACACCAAAGGAGAGAGTGAGAAACACTGGGATGTCTGTGGTGGAGGAAAAAACAGAAAATCTAGGATGGAAAGAAAGAAAGCCTTCACTTGGGTGGTGATCAATTAGGAAAGGGTTATAGGCAATTCCGGGTACCCAAGCTTGTTAATAATAATAATAATAATAATAATAATAATAATAATAATAATAGGTGAGACACTTGGAAAACAATTTGTCTAACAGACTTAGGACATATATTGTTGAGGAAGATGGGGAATATTCATTCTCACAGGCGGGATGTCGTCCAGATATTTAGTAAACATCTGGAGGGAAGGAAAACTATTTCTCACAGAGGCTACTGCTAACATCTGGTGACGAGCCTAATGAAACCCACAGACAGCTACTGCTAACATCTGGAAAAGCGAACATCAGGTTTCCTCCCAAAGCTCGTGCTGACAGCAAGAAGGAAGGGTGGACATGGCTAACATCTGGAAGGCATCAGGACGGATTTCGCTAGCATCTGGAAGGAAGGAAAGAGGACATCTGGGCTTTTGGCATCTGTGTGCCAATGTGAGAGAATCGGTTGGATCAGTTTCCCTTAAAACTTGTTGACAGATCTTTGGAATTTCCCTCGCCGCAGGCCGATTCCGCATTTTACAAGTCTGGGTTCTTCTGTTTTGAATTAAGGCATCCCAGAGCCAGCTGAACGCCAAGGCGAACACTCGTAAAATTAGACTCCTTGCTATAACGTTTTTGTGTTAGGTCTTAAAACCACTTACAAGGGATGTGACCTGTCTCTTGACCTGATTGTTGTTCACTCCCAGGTTTGACTTGGGTTGCAGGGATTGACTTTCGTAGAAAGTGGATGCATTGCAGAGATCAAAACAACCAAAACACGAGCCTACATCAGAGATGGAAGGGAGGACATAGGTTCTTTTATATCTAGGGGCAAAGAACTATTATGGGATCCTTCCCACAATATGTGCAAACCAGCTTGTTCTTGTTACTTGCCTTGGAGATGTCTTCAACCTATGGCGACCCTCTGAGTAACACATCTTCTGGATTAGAACCTAGTCTGGAAGATGGCTTCAAYTTATGGTGACCCTATGAGTAATACATCTTCTAGACTAGAGCCTAGTCTAGAAGATGGCTTCAACYTATGRTGAMCCTATGAGTAACATCAACTTATGGTGACCCTATGAGTAACACATCTTCTAGACTAGAGACTAGTCTCGAAGATGGCTTCAACTTATGGTGACCCTATGAGTAACATCAATTTATGGTGACCCTATGAATAACACATCTTCTAGACTAAAGCCTAGTCTAGAAGATGGCTTCAACTYATGGTGACWYYATGAGYAACATCAACCTATGGTGACCCTATGAGTAACACATCTTCTAGACTAGAGCCTAGTCTAGAATATGGCTTCAACTTATGGCGACCCTATGAGTGAGACATCTTCCAGACTAGAACCTAGTCTAGAAGATGGCTTCAATTTATGGTGAYGCTACGAGTAACACATCTTCTAGACTGGAGCCTAGTCTAGAAGCCTAGTCTGGAGCCTAGTCTAGAAGATGGCTTCATCATTACGTGACCCCATAAGTTGAAGCCTAGTCTAGAAGATGGCTTCAACTTATGGTGATGCTATGAGTAAYACATCTTCTAGACTAGAGCCTAGTCTAGAAGATGGCTTCAACTTATGGTGACCCTATGAGTAACATCAACTTATGGTGACCCTATGAGTAACACATCTTCTAGACTAGAGCCTAGTCTCGAAGATGGCTTCAACTTATGGTGACCCTATGAGTAACATCAATTTATGGTGACCCTATGAATAACACATCTTCTAGACTAAAGCCTAGTCTAGAAGATGGCTTCAACTCATGGTGACAYTATGAGYAACATCAACCTATGGTGACCCTATGAGTAACACATCTTCTAGACTAGAGCCTAGTCTAGAATATGGCTTCAACTTATGGCGACCCTATGAGTGAGACATCTTCCAGACTAGAACCTAGTCTAGAAGATGGCTTCAATTTATGGTGAYRCTACGAGTAACACATCTTCTAGACTGGAGCCTAGTCTAGAAGCCTAGTCTGGAGCCTAGTCTAGAAGATGGCTTCATCATTACGTGACCCCATAAGTTGAAGCCTAGTCTAGAAGATGGCTTCAACTTATGGTGATGCTATGAGTAACACATCTTCTAGACTAGAGCCTAGTCTAGAAGCCTAGTCTAGAAGATGGCTTCATCATAACGTGACCCCATAAGTTGAAGCCTAGTCTAGAAGACGGCTTCAACTTATGGTGATGCTATGAGTAACACATCTTCTAGACTAGAGCCTAGCCTAGAAGATGGCTTCAACCTATGGTGACCCTATGAGTAACACATCTTCTGGATTAGAGCTTAGTCTAGAAGATGGCTTCATCTTATGGTGACCCTATGAGTAACACATATTCTAGACTAGAGCCTAGTCTAGAAGATGGCTTCATCTTATGGTGACCCTATGAGTTTGCCAAAATTCGATTACTGGAGGGGTTTAGGGGGAACTGACCTTCCTTTCTAGGAGTTGTAATTCACCCACAACCAGGAAAACAGTGACCTCCACCAATGATGGACCTGGACCACAATTGGTACACAGAACCCCCACGACCGACTGAATCTATTGGAGGCATTTGAAGGGACTGACTCATCATGGTGTAGTTTACCCTTCAGCCAGAGAGCACACTGAACCCCACCAATGATGCACCAGGAGCAAACTTGCCCAACATAACAAACTTTAAGTACTGATGGAGTTTCTTGGGGTTCACTTGACATGATGGGGGTTGTAGTTAAGCCAGGATAACCATGTCTATCAAGCAACGTTTCTATGTCTGGATGTAAATCCCTGAAGCAGTGGATCCAACAACAAGAACACTCAGCCTGGCAACTCCAGGTTTATGCTCCCCCTTTCACTAGTTGCAACTGACGCTACTCACGGGTGCAGCCACTCTTGCCATCGGTGACGATGCCGCGGAAGTTCCAGAAGCCAGGCTCACATCGGTCGCACTTCAGGCCCCCCACACCAGGCTTGCAGGAGCATTGCCCCGTCGCAGGGTCGCAGCCTCCTCCATAGGAACCGTACGGATTGCAATGGCAGGTGCCTACAAATAGGAAAGAAAGGGTGAGTGGTCAAAACTCCCTAAACCTGCCATTTATTTATTTCTATATTCTATTTCTATCCGTCTCTTCACACCCTTGCAGGGGACTCAGAGAGTCTTACATAAGGTCACCACTGAATGCTATGTAATCAGTAACATAAGATGCGATACATCAATGTAATACAGATATTAAAACACATAAATATCGTAAAATGATTAAATCCTACAGACGTCATTTGCATACTACATTGAGCTGATTCTATATTGCACTGCTCAAACTTCTGATTGCAAAGCCAGGTCTTTTGCTTTCTTTATACTTCCTTCTTTGCTTCCACGCTGGGCTTCTTTCTCATGCAGATAAACAGCTTCGCTCTCAGAGAGCCTCCTCTCACACCGAAGTTACACAGGAGCTTCACACAGTAGCTTTATACAAAGCAGCCTTCACACACAAGCTTCACACATGATGGCCTTCTTTCAATCTGGGCCTTCTCACAGCAAACCTTACCATACTGAGGCCTACTAACACTGAGGCCTACCTCACACTGAGGTCTTTCTCCCACTGAGGCTTTCTCACACCGAGGGCTCTCTCAGACTGATACCTTTCTCCTACAGACACCGAAGCCTTATCATACTGAGGCTTACTAACACTGAGGTCTACCTCACACTGAGGCCTTTCTCCTACTGAGGCCTCTCTCAGACTGACACTTTTCTCCTACAGACACCAAAGTTTCTCACAGAAGGCCTTACCATACTGAGGCCTACTAACACTGAGGTCTACCTCACATTGAGGCCTTTCTCCCACTGAGGCTTTCTCACACCGAAGGCTCTCTCAGACTAACACCTTTCTCCTACAGACACCGAAGCTTCTCACAGAAGGCCTTAACATACTGAGGCCTGCTAACACTGAGGCCTACCTCACACTGAGGTCTTTCTCCCACTGAGGCCTTCTCACACTGAGGGATCTCTCAGACTGACACTTTTCTCCTCCAGACACTGAAGTTTCTCACAGAAGGCCTTAACATACTGAGGCCTACTAACACTGAGGCCTACCTCACACTGAGATCTTTCCCCCACTGAGGCTTTCTCACACCGAGGGCTCTCTCAGACTGACACCTTTCTCCTACAGACACTGAAGCTTCTCACAGAAGGCCTTACCATACTGAGGCCTACTAACACTGAGGTCTTTCTCCCACTGAGGCTTTCTCACACCGAGGGCTCTCTGACTGACACCTTTCTCCTACAGACACCAAAGCTTCTCACAGAAGGCCTTACTATACTGAGGCTGACACTGAGGCCTACCTCACACTGAGGTCTTTCTCCCACTGAGGCCTTTTCACACTGAGGGCTCTCTCAGACTGACGCCTTTTTCCTACAGAGACCTCTCACAGACAGAGGACAACTAAGCTATAGGCACACCTGCTTATATTGAAACACAGTGTTTGATGATTCATTGCATCCAAACCCTTTCAGTGCTTGACTCAGATTTTTGCAATTTTTAAATATTTCTGACAGTCATCTCTGCTGGACTGAATGCCACATTGTCTGAATGCCTGATCACCATCTCCCAAAGCAGAACAGAAAATGGAAAGTTGGTGGACAGGAAAAGAGATTGAAAGATGGGATTAAAGCCAACCTTAAAAACTGTGGTATGGACACTAAGAACTGGGAATCCTTGGCCCTTGAGTGCTCTAACTGGAGGTCAGTTGTGACCAGCAGTGCTGCAGAATTCAAAGAGGCACGAATGGAGGGTGAAAGGAAGAATCATGTCAAGTCAACCCTGACTGGGAATGCTTTGCGCCTGGAAACCGATGTCCTCACTGCGGGAGAACATGCAGATCAAGAATAGGGTTTCACAGCCACCTACGGACCCACCGCCAAGACACTAAATCTGGAAGACCATCATCCTCGAGTGATGAAGGATCGCCTAAGTAAGTAAGTAAGCGCACAGACTATGGTATCATCCGCATATTGGAGTTCTATAACAGTTGTTGTTGAAGGACTAATGCCTGTGCCAAGCTTCATTGCTCTCCGTCCACAAGAAGTGGGTCAGAGGAAATCTTTAATGAGCGCCCCTCATATCATTCTTGTTAGGTGACTTCAAGTAATTTCTGACTTATGATATCACAGGCTTTACAGGCTTTCCTTCACAAGTTTGTTTTGGAATATATTTGCCATTGCTTTCATCTGAGACCTCCAAGACATGACCCAATGGTCTTCCAGGACGAGTAAGAACTTGAACCATGATCTCCCAGATGGGTAGCAAAGCACTCAAACCACTATTCCCACTCTCCAGATGGCGAGGCATTCTGCGATTTCCCGCTTTCCATACTGGTTTGGGGATTCAGGAAGCGGCAGAGCAAAATTAAACTTCCTTGAGCTTTGCACTTTCGGGTTGACGAAAGAGGTGTCGAAAATTTAAAAAAGTGCTTCCTTCCTGAGGTTGTGTCTCCCACACACTTTCGTAGAGGACAGAAGGATGAGAAACTTGTTTCTTCTGGGAAGAAAGCAAACACTCTCCAAAAGTTGAATTTTTGCATTTACATCCACATTCAAGGCATAGGCTCAGCTTAAGAAGAGCAGCAAACGGTGCCGCAACTGCGTGGTTTCCAGGGAACGCGACTCGATTTCAAGCCACTACTTTAAAAAACTGTTTTGTGGAGTTTGCGGGTTCCCCAGACAGTTTTCTTTCTACTAATGCTTGCTTATGCGCCGTCCCGCTACGAGGAGCTGCTCTCTTGTGCGCAATGTCAGGAAAAGCAATTGTTCCCGGCTTTTATCTGCTTATTGGCATGCAAAACTTCTCAGGGATGAGCATCTGCTCCCTGCTGTCTGCATGCAAATGCCGTTAGTGGGAATCAAATGGGAACACACAAGTGGTCCAGCCCTGGGCCAGCTCCTCACAAGTAGGAAAGAGTACATTTGGTTTCGACATGAGCAAGCGACCGACACCAGGGAGAGGCTGTCAGCACTGCTGTTTAATAGGCATGGTTAGGTTCAGTCGGAATCTTCGTAATTCGGAATAAATTTGGAAAAATTTGCTTTTTGACGTGTCACACCTCCGGACAGATTCACCTTTCTCAGGACACCACACACACACCAAGGATGTAGGTTTTGTAGTTTATTAAATAAAAGGCAGAGTCTTAAACACAAAAGTAAAGTTGCAAAAGTTCAATAGCCAAACAGATGCAAAGGCAGAGTTTCCAAAGTCCAAAGGCAAATAACATGAAGCATAATCCATAAGCATTGATCAAACAAGATTCCATGGCAGCATGAAGAGTCCCAAGAAGCCAAGATCCACATCAAAGTCCCAAGAAGCCAAAAGCACTGCCTGATATAGGCAGCTCGGAAGAGAGAAATGGGCAAGCTGTTGGGTTTCATCCCTGGACTGCACAAGTCTATTGGACGTCCTGTGACAGCAACCACCGAGTTTCACAAGCAAAAGGTTGACAGATTGATTCAGGACGATCGTCATATCATTCAGAGAGAAATTTCAAGCATCATCGGCATTTCAAAAGGACAGGTTTATCACATTATTGCTTTGCCTGGCTAACGGATCTGTGCACAATGGGTACCCAAGATGAGAAAACTGTGAGATGCTGGTTGTGGAAACAGAGTGCCGACTTCAGAGAGAAATTTCAAGCGTAATCAGCATTTCTCAAGAACGTGTGGGTCACATTATTGCTTTGCTTGGCTATCGGAAGATCTGTGCATGATGGGTACCCAGAATAAGAGAACTGTGAGATGCTGGTTGCGGAAGCAGAGAGTCGACTTCAGAGAGAAATTTCAAGCATAATCAGCATTTCTCAAGAACGTGTGGGTCACATTATTGCTTTGCTTGGCTATCGGAAGATCTGTGCATGATGGGTACCCAGGATGAGAAAACTGTGAGAGGCTGGTTGCGGAAACAGAGTGTCGACTTCAGAGAGCAATTTCAATCATAATCAGCATTACTCAAGAATGTGTGGGTCGACTTCAGAGAGCAATTTCAATCATAATCAGCATTTTTCAAGAATGTGTGGGTCACATTATTGCTTTGCTTGGCTATTGGAACATCTGTGCATGCTGGGTACCCAGAATAAGAGAAGTGTGAGATGCTGGTTGCGGAAGCAGAGAGTCGACTTCAGACAGGAATTTCAAGCATAATCAGCATTTCTCAAGAACGTGTGGGTCACATTCTTGCTTTTCTTGGCTATCGGAAGATCTGTGCACGATGGGTACCCAGGATGAGAGAACGGTGAGACGCTGGTTGCGGAAAGAGAGAGTAGACTTCAGAGAGAAATTTCAAGCATAATCAGCATTTCTCAAGAACGTGTGTGTCACATTATTGCTTTGCTTGGCTATCGGAAGATCTGTGCATGATGGGTACCCAGGATGAGAGAACTGTGAGATGCTGATTCAGGACGATTGTCGTATCACTCAGAGAGAAATTTCAAGCATAATCGGCATTTCACAAGAACGTGTGGGTCACATTATTGCTTTGCTTGGCTATCGGAAGATCTGTGCATGATGGGTACCCAGAATAAGAGAACTGTGAGATGCTGGTTGCAGAAGCAGAGAATCGACTTCAGAGAGGAATTTCAAGCATAATCAGCATTTTTCAAGAATGTGTGGGTCACATTATTGCTTTGCTTGGCTATCGGAAGATCTGTGCATGATGGGTACCCAGAATGAGAGAACTGTGAGACGCTAGTTGCGGAAACAGAGTGTCGACTTCTTCTGTGACAGCTTCAGAAAACTTGTTCATTGTTGGCAGAAATGTATCCAATTGTCTTTGTGATTATGTGGAAAAGTGAATAGTGGGAGTTAAATATCATTATTGCTTTGCTTGGCTGTCGGAAGATCTGTGCATGATGATGAGAAGATTATTATTGTTTGGCTGTCGGAAGATCTGTGCACGATGGGTACCCAGGATGAGAGAATGGTGAGGCGCTGGTTGAGGAAACAGTGTGTTGACTTCTTCCGTGACAGCTTCAGAAAACTTGTTCATCGTTGGCAGAAATGTATCCAATTGTCTGGTGATGTGATTAGTTGTAGTTAAAGAGCACATTCTAAGGATTATTTCTGCGTTTGATTTATTAAAATATTCCCACCCAAACCCAAGTAACGAAGGTGGAGGCATTACTTTACATTCAACCCTCGTTGTGCTTTCTTCTGCCCCACTGGTGACCTCAGTGACTCTTGACCCAGGCGCTCCTTGAGTGATTAAAGCTGCTTCCAGGACTCCGCCACTTATTAAATTATATGGGGCATGAAATGACTCTACAGCCCCATCACGGCTGCCTACTCCAAACTACCTTACGTACAATGGAGGCAAACCACCACTGCCCTCACGGATACCCGCTAGCCAGCTGGCTGTCAGCCCCAGCTGCTAAAAGGGCCGCTAATGCTCTCCTCATCTCGTTAGGTTAAAGAGTCAGCAACATCTAATTATTTCATAAAATATTAATAAAGTGTTCACCGGCACGGCCAGCTGCGGCGGAAAATGCTCCGCAAGTCGGACTCGTTCGGATGAAAACAGGAGTCAATGATGCTGTTTCTAAATAATCCCCCAGTCCCACACGAATTCAACTCACTGGGGCATCCGGCGGAGCCGACACCGAGGGCCAATGTCACGTTGTCCGGACAGCATCCATAAACGGTCTGGCTACAGTGGAGGACTTCAAGAGGAGGCGGAAGACTGGTGACTCCTGCCGGATATCAACAAAGAGGAAGGAGGTAGAGTCATGGTTTGAGCAGCAGTTACAACCAAAACAGAAGAAGGGCTGTCCAAAAGGAATTAATGTTGTCGCCGGGAAGTCACGCATTGGCAACTCGTATCATCCCCATGCATCATGGCCATGCTCATCTTGGATGGGGATGATGGGAGTTGGAGCCCAACACATCTGTAGGACACAAAGTTGAGGCAGCCTTATGTTTACCTTCAATTACATGGACAGAGAACACATGGGCAGAGGGCCAACTATAAATTTTTACATACAATATATACTCAAATATAAGCCGACCCAAATATAAGTAGAAAAGTAGGGTCAACTAAAACAATATGGTATCAACAATACTACTACTACTACTACTAATACTAAAACCTTCCAGCCTGGAAAGAGAAGCAGAGCAGAAGCCGAAAAGAAAACACACTATTTAGGAAGAGGAAGAGGAGAGAGAATTAGATCATATATTGCAAGGGCTTATCTCCCCCTCCTTTCCCTTTTCAAAACATAAGTAAGTTGCTCGGAGCACCTTGGTGGAGAGCGACTAATTAAGAAATAAAGTGAAATGAAGTGAAAACATTCCAGCCTGGGAGAAGGAGAGCAGAAGCAGAAAAGGAAACACACTGTTTAGGGAGGGGAAGAGGAGAGAGAACTATATCATGCCTTGCAAGGGCTTCTCTCCCACTTCTTTCCCTTTCAAAACATCCCAGCCTGGGAGGAGAAGCAGAGCAGAAGCCGAAAAGAAAACACACTGTTAAGGGAGAGGAGGAAGAGAGAGAAATAGATCATGCCTTGCAAGGGCTTCTCTCCCCTCCTTTCCCTTTCAAAACATCCCAGCCTGGGAGGAGAAGCAGAACAGAAACAGAAAAGAAAACACACTGTTAAGGGAGGGGAAGGGGAGAGAGAACCATATCATGCCTTGAAAGGGCTCCTCTCCCACTCCTTTCTCTTTTCAAAACATTCCAGCCTGGGAGGAGAAGCAGAGCAGAAGCAGAAAAGGAAACACACTGTTTAGGGAGGGGAAGAGGAGAGAGAAATACATCATATATTGCAAACAATGGCCTCCAGGCTCCGTTACCAGCTTGACCTCAATATAAGCCGAGGGAGATATGGTAATCGTCGCTGCTCTTTAGTTTTTATCCAGTTTTGGTTCCCAGATGTTACTGATTGACAACTCCCATCACTTCTGCAGACTGGGAATAATGAGAATTGCAACCCCAAAGTCCTTGTGACTCTGAGGCTGGGGAAAGGTTGGATGACATTTTGACGTCAGACTATATCCAGAAGCCTTGTATCTGCCATGTGTTTTTGACTAAATAGAACACATGGCAGCATTCCAGATCTTCCTGTATCCCAAGTCCCAGGAATTGTAGTAGCCCAGCATCTGGAGGCCACACAAAATGACACGCCAGCCCCAACTCAGGAGGGTCACCTCGACAGGCTCCTTGACTCGTCACGTAGATATCTTGTTGTTTCTCGCAGCGTGTCTTCTTCAGTTCACACTCATTCGCATAGGTCACACCGTTGGAGCCACACACCTGTGCAAGGGAGGAAAAAGAAGCCATTCATCAGCTCCGTCTTGAGAGCGAGACTAAGGTGGCGACTGACAAAACTAGGGGGCGTTGGTGCTTTAATGTTGCTGAAGTTCTGGTGGTGAAAATTTCAGAACTCTAACAAAACTTTGTTTGTGATTTAAAAAAATACATTATATTTGAACTCTCAATTTTCTTCTGACATCTATATCTATATATATAACTAGCTGTCCCCTGCCACGCATTGCTGTGGCCCAAATGGGGGTTCTGTGTAGGAGGTTTGGCCCAATTCCATCGTTGGTGGGGTTCGTTGGTGCTCTGTGAATGTAGGTGAACTATAAATCCCAGCAACTACAACTCCCAAATGTCAAGATTCTATTTTCCCCAAACTCCACCAGTGTTCACATTTGGGCATATTGAGTATTTGTGTAGAGTTTGCTCCAGATCCATCATTGTTTGAGTCTACAGTGATGTAGGTGAACTACAACTCCAAAACCAAAGGACACTGCCCACCAAACCCTTCCAGTATTTTCTGTTGGTCATGGGCAGGCCCAAGTTTGGTTCAATTCCATCATTAGTGGAGTTCAGAATGCTCTTTGATTGTAGGTGAACTATAAATCCCAGCAACTACAACTCCCAAATGTCAAGGATTATTTTTCCCAAACTCCACCAGTGTTCACATTTGGGAATATTGAGTATCCATGCCAAGTTTGGTCCAGATCCATCGTTTTTTGAGTCCACTCTGGATGTAGGTGAACTACAACTCCAAAACCAAGGACACTGCCCACCAAACCCTTCCAGTATTTTCTGTTTGTCATGGGAGAACTGTGTGCCAAGTTTGGTTCAATTCCATCGTTGGTGGGGTTCAGAATGCTCTTTGATTGTAGGTGAACTATAAATCCCAGCAACTACAACTCCCAAATGACAAAATCAATTTTTTTGAGTGAAGGACATACATTGGGTTGTTAGATGTCTTGTGTCCAAATTTGGTGTTAATTCGTCCAGTGGTTTTTGAGTTTAGTTAATCTCACAAACGAACATTACATTTTTATTTATATAGATGAAAGTGAATGTTTGTATGTACGTGTGCGGAGGGTGGAGGGCAGGGTATGTAGCAGCTTTCTGATTGGCTGCCGCTTTCACAGGCCACTGCGACCCCCACGAATGACGGACCAGGACCAAACTTGGCACACATAACCCCTATGACTCACTTTATGTCCTGGTGTGGTTTGCGAGAGGATGGACTACAGATTATGGGATTTGTAGTACTTTCAAATTATTATATATTTTTTTAATTACAAGATTTGTATCCCGCCCATATCAGCCTGAAGGCGACTCTTCAGCACCCATAGATCACTGCGTCTCCCAACAATGACAGATCAGGACCAAACACAGAGCACCCATTACCCACTCTACATCCTGGCGTGGTTTGAAGGAGGATGGACCATAAATGATGGGACCTGCAGTACCTTCACTTACTTCGTGAGAGCATTGGGACCAGGATGAATAATGGACCTGGGCCAAACTTGACACACATAACCCACACAAACCCCATTACGCCCTGGTGAAGTTTGGGGGAGGATGGACCACGGACAATGGGATTTGCAGTACCTTCACCTGACTCACTTCCTACGAAACACTGCGGCCCCCACGAATCACGGACCAGGACCAAACTTGGCACAGAGACCCCTCATGACCCACTTTACGTCCTGGTGTAGCTTGGGCGAGGATGGACCACAGATTATGGGACTTGCAGTACCTTCACTCACTTCCTGAGACTACTGCGACCCTCATCCAATTACAGATATATAGATGAAAATTGGCAAACAGAGCCCCCATGACCCACTGTACATTGTGGTACAGTTTGGAGATGGATGGATCATGGATGATGGGACTTGCATATGGGAGTTGTAGTTCACCTGCACCCATTGAACCCAGCTGCCACTGGATCTAGACTTATCTCGGAGCACAGACAAACAATGCCTTTCTCAAATAAATACTCTGGCCATGAGAACACACAAGCTCTCAAGCTTTTCCAGTCTCTCAAACTGGTCTTGCACACTTCCCAAGAATAAAGCATTCTCAACAGATGGCCTGCCTAGTTTCCGCCTGAAGTCACCCAGCAAGACCTTGTGTTTGGCCGGGCTTACAAAGAGGACACAGGTGTTTGGCACCTACCGGGTTTCTTGGCACGGCCCCACACGTGTAGTCACACACGCAGCGGTCGTCTTCCACATCCTCGTCCCAGGAACCGCCATACTGCCGACAGCTGTCCCGGTCGCATTCGTTCAAGTCCCCAGAGCCAGACCCTCCTCCCGATCCGCATTCTGCAGCAAGGAAGGAAAACAGAGCCAAGCGAGCCCTCCATCATCCATTCCACAACCAGATCTGAGTATTCCTCTCTTTTGTGATCACAACTTATTTGGGAATCAGATATCATTTTCCCAAGGAATTCCAACGTTAGTATAAACTAAACACCAATTTCTTGCCGTTGTCATAATCACTCCAATAATAATAATAATAATAATAATAATAATAATAATAATAAAGGCCAAAACCAAGGTCACAACAACATTTGTTATAGAACTCCAATATGCCGATGATAACATAGTCTGTGCGAATTCAGAAGACCTACAACATCTTATAGAACTCCAATACCCCAATGATAACATAGTCTGTGCACATTTAGAAGAACTTACATCTGTTATAGAACTCCAATATGCCCATGATAATGTAGTCTGTGCGCATTGAGAACACCTACAACATCTGTTATAGAACTCCAATATGCTGATGATAATGTAGTCTGTACGAATTCAGAAGAAGACCTACAACATCTGTTATAGAACTCTAATATGCTGATGATAACATAGTCTGTGCACATTCAGAAGAACCTACAACATCTGTTATAGAACTCCAATATGCCCATGATAACATAGTCTGTGCACATTCAGAAGAAGACCTACAACATCTGTTATAGAATTCCAATATGTCGATGATAACAGTTCTATAACAGATTTTGTAGGTCTTTTTCTCAATGTGCACAGACTTCGTTATCATTGGCATATTGGAATTCTATAACAGATTTTGTAGGTCTTCTTCTGAATGTGCACAGGCTATGCTATCATCAGCATATTGGAACTCTATAACAGATGTTGTAGGTCTTGGAGTTCTATAACAGATTTTGTAGGTCTTCTTCTGAATGCGCACAGACTATGTTGGAATTCTATAAGAGATGTTTTAGGTCTTGTGAATGCACACAGACTACATAATCATTGGCATACTGGAATTCTATAACAAATGTCGTAGGTCTTCTTCTGAATGCGCACATTCATTGGCATATTGGAATTCTATAACAGATTTTATAGGTCTTCTTCTGAATGTGCACAGACTATGTTATCATTGGCATATTGGAATTCTATAACAGATGTTGTAGGTCTTCTTCCGAGTGCGCACAGATCTTGGAGTTCTATAACAGATGTTGTAGGTCTTTTTATTAATATGCATAGACTTCGTTATCATCGGCATATTGGAGTTCTATAAGAGATGTTTTAGGTCTTCTTGTGAATGCACACAGACTACATTATCATCGGCATATTGGAATTCCATAACAAATGTAGTATGTCTTCTTCTGAATGCGCACAGACTATGTTATCATCGGCATATTGGAGTTCTAAAACAGATGTTTTTGTGATCTTGGCTTTGGTTTTCATCATCATCCTCAATTGCCAATTGTCGGTGATCTACATGGTTATGGTTCTCTTTACACTGCCAGTGATGAAGACGAGGGCTTATGGGATGTTTTGTTCCATGTGCCACATTAACCCGGTTGGTTTTGCGTGCAATGGCCTTTATGTCATGGGTCACCTCACTGTTCGCTACTCTTTATGTACGTAAAGTTCCAGTATCCGAATGGGAGCTTCCCTCTCTACCAAAAAATGTATTTAGCTATTCAAAATTGTTCAAAGGCTCTCTGAAAGAAAGCGCCCCCAACATACCCCCCCCCCCCCCGCCCCGCGCGAGTGATCAAAGGCAGAGAGTTGGCGCAAACACAGAGAATTATTCAAGTGTTTCTCCCGGAGGGATAGCAACCTGTAATTCCCCCTCGAGGGGAACTGTTTGATTAAGTGCCATGTTCTGCTGTCTCCGCTCTTTGCCAGCTTTCGCCCAACCGTGGGTGACAACTTGTCCTGGTGAAACCGGAGTGCCATCCAATGGGCTTCTAATTGCCATGTTTTGTGTTTCCGCGTCTTTCAATGAATTTCAAATGGGTTTAATTCTATAGATTGTTTTTGAAAAAATAACACAATCTCGATATGTACAGTGTTTCCTCGTTACTTCGCGGTTCGCTTTTCATGGACTCGATGTTTTGTGGGTTTTTGCATCGAGACATCGGGTTTTTTGCATCGAGACATCGGGTTTTTGCATCAGCACATCAGGTTTCCGTGGGGTTTTGCATCAGGACATCGGGTTTCCGTGGGGTTTTGCATTGGGTTTTTGCATCAGGACATTCGGTTTTTGCATTGGGTTTTGCGGGTTTTTGCATCAGGACATCGGGTTTTCACAGGTTTTTGCATCGGGTTTTTGCATCAGGACATCGGGTTTTCGCGGGGTTTTGCATCGGGTTTTTGCATCAGGACATCAGGTTTTCGTGGGTTTTTGCATCAGGTTTTTGCAGGTTTATGCATCAGGACATCGGATTTTCGTGGGTTTTTGCATCGGGTTTTTGCATCAGGACATTGGTTTTCACAGGTTTTTGCATCGGGTTTTTGCATCAGGACATCAGGTTTTTGCATTGGGTATTTGCAGATTTTTGCATCAGGACATCGGATTTTTGCGGGGTTTTGCATCGGGTTTTTGCATCAGGACATCAGGTTTTCGTGGGTTTTTGCATTGGGTTTTTGCGGGTTTATGCATCAGGACATCGGATTTTCGTGGGTTTTTGCATCAGGACATCAGTTTTCACAGGTTTTTGCATCAGGTTTTTGCATCAGGACATCAGGTTTTTGCATTTGGTTGTTGCGGGTTTTTGCATCAGGACATCGGATTTTCGCGGGGTTTTGCATCGGGTTTTTGCATCAGGACATCGGGTTTTTACAGGTTTTTGCATTGGGTTTTTGCGGGTTTTTGCATCAGGACATTGGGTTTTTGTGAGGTTTTGCATCGGGGTTTTGCATCGGGGTTTTGCAACAGGGCATCAGGTTTTTGCGGGTTTTTGCATCAGGTTTTTTGTGGGTTTTTGCATCAGGAGTGAGCTCCCATTATTAGCTCCAGCTCCTGCCAACCCAGCAGTTCAAAAACACACAAATGTGAGATCTGCCACTGCCAGTAGGGAAAGTTGGGATTCGAACCCAGACCCTCAAAGAAACTGATCCAAAATTACCTAGGGCCGCCTCTGCGTGCAGATCCGAGAAGGGTGGCTGACGGATGTTAATTTTGTCAGCACTGATTGCTTTTTAAGTGCAGGCCAAGGTCTTTAGGCACTGCACCCAGTGTGCTGATCACCACAGGGACCATCTTTACTGGCTTCTGCCAGAGTCCTTGCATTATTATTATTATTATTATTGCTGCTGCTGCTACTACTACTACTACTACTACTACTACTATCCTTTCCATATGTGCTTTGGACAGCCAGAGTCCAGTGCCTTTCTGGACATGAGGATCATACGCAGAGGCGGCCCTGGGTAATTTTCGACGGTAAGCAAAGAGTATTTTGGTCCCCCCCCCCCCAACCAATCATTGATATATATTTTCTGTTCGTCGTGGGAGTTCTGTGTGCCATATTTGGTTCAATTCCATCATTGGTGGAGTTCAGAATGCTCTTTGATTGTAGGTGAACTATACATCCCAGTAACTACAACTCGCATATGTCAAGGTCTATTTTCCCCCAAGAGCGCCTCAAGAGCGCCCCTAGGCAAACTCAACTATACCGCGATATGCTTACTTTGCGTTATGTGTTGAGCCGCCCCTGATCATACGGTACAGTCAGGGGGTCGACCCACCCTTGACCTTCCTGTCCCAATCATCTGCCGAATACGGAAGGACGGGAAAAGGAGAGAAAGAAAGAGGGAGTGAAAAAGCGAGTGGGAGAAGGAAGAGAGTGGCGCTCCCTTCTGCCGACCTCCTCCTACTCTCTGAAGTGTGAAATTAAAGCACTGATAAACCTCTTTGCCGAGGCCTATTACGTGCCGTCACCTTTCATTACTGGCAGATAAAAAGACAATGAGAAGGAGGGTGATGGGAGAAATGGGGAGAGGACAGCTCTTGACAGAAGTGGTGAAGCTGGCAAGCATCATCAACACACGATCGCACACTCTTCTCGCTCTGTGTGCACATGATGCACAGCTACACAAACCCAGGACCAAATACATGTGTGTGTATCCTTCTGGAGCAGCTGGACTTTGGCATCAATAGAGGAAGAGAAGCAGCTCGGAGGGTTGCGAGGCAAAGCCTGGAGGCATCCAAGCAGGCAAACTCTATATATGCCCAGAGGCAACAAGGGAGGAGGGATATAGGAAAAGACTCCATCTATGGGAACGGCAGCTCGGATCTGTCTGTCTGAAAATGCGTAAAGAGAAAGGCAAAACTCAGAGGGGAGCATTTTTGTCTTCTGTTGCCGACCTCAAAACTACAAGGCTTTGGAAAGAAAATCTATTTCGAAAGTGATATGAAAAGATTCAGACAGGCCCGATATCGCGGGATCTGATCCCAGGTTTATCCCTGTTCTTAAGGTGAAAAGCACACGTCTGCATTTTAGGTGGATTAGGAATCAGCTGGTTTTCCCTGTATAAGGAAATAAGAGCACCTAAAGCTTCAGGTAGCTTCAGTTCAACCATTTCAAAGCTCCCTGCTTGGGTGGTGATGGCACGATCGTCAGCATAGATGAAACTCTCTGTCCCTTCTGGCAGTGGCTGGTCATTTGTGTAAATGTTAAACATTGATAGTGCAAAGCTAGTTTTCCCTGTAAACTAAACCTTCAGAGAGCTTCAGTTCAACCATTTCAAATCTCCCTGTTTGAGTGGTGATGGCACGATCGTCAGCATAGATGAAACTTTCCATTCCTTCTGGCAGTGGCTGGTCATTTGTGTGAATGTTAAACATTGATAGTGCAAAGCTAGTTTTCCCTGTAATAGGCAGCGAGAGCACCTAAACCTTCAGAGAGCTTCACTTCAACCACTTCAAAACTCCCTGCTTGAGTGGTGATGGCACGATCGTCAGCATAGATGAAACTCTCTGTCCCTTCTGGCACTGGTTGGTCATTTGTGCAAATGTTAAACATTGATGGTGCAAGCTGGTTTTCCTTGTAACAGGTGCTAAGAACACCTAAAGCTTCACTTCAACCATTTCAAAACTCCCTGCTTGAGTGGTGATGGCACGATCGTCAGCATAGATGAAACTCTCTGTATCTTCTGGCAGTGGCTGATTATTTGTGTAAATGTTAAGTATTGATAGAGCAAGCTGGTTTTCCCTGTAATAGGCAGTAAGAACTTCTAAAGCTTCGGAGAGCTTCACTTCCAACCATTTCAAAACTCCCTGCTTGTGTGATGATGGCACGATCATTAGCATAGATGAAACTCTCTGTCCCTTCTGGCACTGGTTGGTCATTTGTGTAAATGGTAAACATTGATGGTGCAAGCTGGTTTTCCCTGTAATAGGCAGTAGAAGCACCTAAAGTTTCAGAGAGCTTCATTTCAACTATTTCAAAGCTCCCTGCTTGAGTGGTGATGGCACGATCGTCAGCATAGATTAAACTCTCTCTCCCTTCTGACAGTTGCTGATCATTTGTGTAAATGGTAAACATAGATGGAGCAAGCATTCCCCCATGAGGCAGGCCATTTTTATGTTTTTGCCATCTGCTTCTCTGGCCCTGGAACTCAACAAAAAAGCTCCTGTTTTGTAGCAGATTTCCTATGAAGCAGGTGAGGTGATAATCCTTTGTGTTATTATACTTTTTTTTTCAGGAGGAGGCAATGATTTGCAGAAGTGGTTCCCAATCTGTGGGTTCCCAGGCATTTTGGCCTCTTACATTTCAAAGCTTGAGCGGTGATGGCAAGATCATCAGAATAGATGACACTCTCTGCATTAGTGAGTGAGTAAGATATTATTTCTAGTGCCCACTTTTTGTTGGATAGTCAAGCAATGTTTCTTGTAAATCAGAGCACAGTCCAGGGAAACTCCCAGGTATTTTGGTGTGGAGAACTTCTGTTCAACCATTTCATAGGTCCTTGCTTGGGTGGTGATGGCATGATCGTCAACATAGATGAAACTCTCTGTCCCTTCTGGCAGTGGCTGATCATTTGTGTAAATGTTAAACATTAATGGTGCAAGCTGGAATTTTCCTATAATAGGGAGTAAGACCACCTAAAGCTTCGGAGAGCTTCTGGTCAACCATTTCAAAACTCCGTGCTTGAGCAGTGATGGCATGATCATCAGCATAGATGAAAATCTCCATCCCTTCTGGCAGTGGCTGGTCATTTGTGTAAACATTGATGGTGCAACCTGGTTTTCCCTGTAATAGGCAGTAAGGGTACCTAAAGCTTCAGAGAGCTTCAGTTCAACCATTTCAAAACTCCCTGCTTGAGTGGTGATGGCATGATCATCAGCATAGATGAAACTCTCTGTCCCTTCTGGCAGTGGCTGGTCATTTGTGTAAATGTTTAACATAGATGGAGCAAGCATTCCCCCATGAGGCATGCCATTTTTATGTTTTTGCCATCTGCTTCTCTGGCCCTGGAACTCAACAAAAAAGCTCCTGTTTTGTAGCAGATTTCCTATGAAGCAGATGAGGTGGTAGCCCTTTGTGTTATTATACTTTTTTTCCCGTCAGTATAGATGAAACTGGTTTATCCCAGATTATCTGGCAATGCGGACTTAGTTTTTAACTTTGTTTGTGGTTGTGCCATGAAGTTTTGTTTCAGGCCTTACAAAGCTGGGAGTTTTAACCCAAAACACTTTGAGGATTCCCAGCTTTATTTCTGGACTTACCCTCCTCGCAAGGCCCCGTCTGAGTGATCTCAATGTCCTTCTTCTGTTGACAGGCTGCCACTCGCAGCTCGCATGCATTCTCATAGGTGACGCCGTTGCTCCCGCATACTCGGCCCAGGGGCTGCTTCTCGCAACGTGGACAGACGCATTGCCCGTCCACACATTGGGCCCCGAAGGAGCACACCACGCCCCCACAGGTTTCTAGAAGCAGGGGAATGAGGAATAATGTCAGTTCGACACCACACAGAACACAATCCAGTGCATTCTTTTCCACCCTCGTGTCTCTGGTTTTGAGAACTCTCTTCTATACAGTGTTCCCCTGCTACTTCGCGGTTCGCTTATTGTGAACTCGCTGTTTGCAAGTGCCTACATTTTTAGAGAGACGAAGGGAGACAGAGCACAAACATGGTTCAGCTCAAATAGCTGCTAAAAACGCTGAGCTAATTAGGAGACATCCTAGGGCAGTGGTTCTCAACCTGTGGGTCCCCAGATGTTTTGGCCTTCAACTCCCAGAAATCCTAACAGCTGGTGAAATGGCTGGGATTTCTGGGAATTGTAGGCCAAAACACCTGGAGACCCACAGGTTGAGAATCACTGGGCTAGGGTGTCTCCTAATTAGCTCAGCGTTTTTAGCAGGCATCTGTGCTCTGTCTCCCTTTGTCTCTCTAAAAATGTAGGCACTTGCAAATCCTCATCATCTGATTCTTCTTCTCCATCCAATTCCTGAACACTTCCCTTCTCTCCTTTCTCCTCTGAAGATGAGGAATCCCTAACATCTTGTCTCTGGGAGCCGCAGAGGCAGCGAGAAGAAGGAGGCTGCTGCTGAAGAGGGCTCAGCACCTGGCTCCTCCTAGTCTTCCTCCTCCTTGTCCTTATTTCCTCATCTCTTGGGCCTCCAAGGAAGAGGACGAGGAGGGGGGAGCATGTCTCCTAATTAGTTCAGCGTTTTTAGCAGCTATTTGAGCTGAACGGCGTCCATGCTCTGTCTCCCTTCGTCTCTCTAAAAATGTAGGTACTTGCAAATCCTCATCATCTGATTCTTCTCCATCCAATTCATGAACACTTCCCTGCTCCCCTTCCTCCTCTGAAGATGAGGAATCCCTAACATCTTGTCTCTGGGAGCCGCGGAGGCAGCGAGAAGACGGAGGCTGCCGCGGAAGAGGGCTCAGTACCTGGCTCCTCCTCCTCCTCCTTGTCCCTACTTCCTCACCTCTTGGGCCTCTGAGGAAGAGGAGGAGAAAGAGGACGAGGAGGGGGGAGCCTCGGCGCGGCCCTCTCCGGCAGTAGCCTCCTCCTCCTCGCTGCCTCTGCTGCTCCCTGCTCCTTTCTTAGAGATGGCCGTGCCAAGGCTCGCCCTCATTCTCATCCTCATCCTCCTATTCCTTGGACACCCTTGGGCGCCGAGCTCGGAAAACCAGGCCTCAGCTCAGCCTGGCAGTAGTGTCAACGGTGCCCAAGGGGCCTCCGAGGAAGAGGAGGAGGAGGAAGAGGAGGAGGAGGAGGGAGAGCCTTGGCACGGCCCTCTTTGAAGAAGGAGTGGGGAGCAGTGGAGGTGGCGTGGAGGAGGCCACCACTGAAGATGGCAGCCTGGAGACAAGGCAGCCCTACCCCAGGATAAGGCCCAGCTCCTTGCTCCTCCTCCCCTCTTCCTTGTCCCTATGTCACGGAATTTCACTTATCGTGGGTGGTCTTGGAACATAACACCAGCGAAAAGTGAGGGGACTGTTCCGTCTTCCAGGAGCTTGGTTTGCATTGCCCTTAGTTGCATGAAGTAGCATCCTTTTGCATTTCCCCCAGGGTTGCTACAGTCTTAGCTGCACCCTGAAAGTTAACTATTAACAGCCAGCCTACAAAAGCCTTTTGCTGTTATTGGCTTAAAAAGTATCTCTTTGGTCCAGAGACCGCCCTTTTTCCTGGGGATGAGATCTCCATTTTGGAGAAGTTCTCCCGCCTTCTTTAGTTTAGAAAAAAGCCTCAGATGTGCTGGTGGTCAAGCTAGGCAGCTTGGACAGGCCATCGTGAGTCCTCACCCTCCTGCCTTTGAAACTGGTGCTGAGCTCAGATAGGGGAAGACCTGCTCTTTCTAAAGATAGCAGCTCAGCGCTGGGGCAGAGAATATCTCAGGATTTCTCTGCCATTGGGAGAGGCTCCATTACTTCATCTCCAAAACTAATCTTGAGCTTAGATAGGGGAAGACCTGCTCTTTCTGAAAGATAGCAGCTCAGGGTTAGGGTAAAAGATCCCAGGATTTTTCTACCGTTGGGGGAAAGTTAACTCAGCAGCTGAAGAAAAAGGGAAGGAAAGAACATCTATATGGTTTCACGAGTTGACTGTTTGTGTTTGTAACTGCAACAAGCTGTGCCAAGTCTGCCAAAGACTTTGAAAAATAAATGTTCTGTTTGATGTTCAAATCTGGAGTGGCCTCAGTTGCAGAGAATCCGAAGCTTCTAAGTAAGGTACCCGCAGTTCACCCGGATAAAGAGAGAAGCACATCTTAGTTTTAACCTTATGGTGTCTGGGTGTGACGGCACAGGGACACCGTATACTGTTATTGTTCAACAATGCTACAATTCTACCAGCCAATCCTGTCATCTTCTTCAAGCTTCGACGTGTACTTGTAGACACTGGGAGGTGGATGTCCTTATGACACTCAAATTTCTGTCGGAAACGGCAACCTTCTACAAGCCTCCTATACTACTTATTTCTTTGTATATAATTCAGATTGTTTACTGTCGTGTATATGTGTGTATCCAGTTTTCCTTAAGTCTATGTTGTGGGAGAACCATGTGATCAGAACTGGGACTGTTCAGGACTCAGACTCCATTTTAGATGGTGTCTGAGTCTATTCAGGACTCAGATTCCATTTTACACGATATACTTTCAGATCCCTGTAGAGGCCGAAGTCATCAATAAGTGGGTTTTTAATTCTTCTCAGAAGAGTATCCCATGACGTGAGGTCAAAATTCCTGGAGAGAACAAGGCTTGAAGAAGAACAAGGTACTCACTGCAGTCGCCTTGGGCTGCCACCTCGATGTTAGTTTGCTGGGTGCATGCCCGTACATGGAGTTCGCACTCATTCTGGTAGGTGTTCCCATCCGTGCCGCAGACCGGCTGAGAGGACGGGATGCATTCGGTCGGGCACACGCACCTTCCCGTTTCCGCCTCGCAGATGGCACCAAACTGACATTTCCCACAACGGTCTGAAAGGAAAGACAAGGGGAAGGGCTGGGGTTAGGGTAGGCATTTAGGCATGGGCGATCCGTGGATCTAAATGGTTCTAAAATACTTACAAAGCTAGGGGGTGCTGATGCTTTGTTTCAAAAGTGTTTCTAAAGTTCTGGTGGTGAAAATTTCAGAACTCTAACAAAACTTTCAAAATTTCCTTATAAATGGCAGTTCCTAATTGTTTCTGTCATAAAAATCGCCAATAACAACATTTTTGAAAGTTTTGTTAAGAGTTCTGAAATTTTCACCACCAGTACTTTAACAACACTTTAGAAGCAAAGCACCAGCGGCATTAGGAAAGTTGAGAAACACTTTCAATAGATACCGGCAAACATTCAATGCCTTGTTACAATACAATGAGACACACAAGCATAAACAAAGGAAGCAGCCAGACTTTGAAGCTGCAAGGCTATTCAGTGCTAATTGAGGTGGCCAATTGCAACATTCACACTTGCCTCAAGCAGACAAGAGTTCTTCCTTCCTAATTGGTCCTGTCATAAAAATCGCCAATAACAAACTACTAATGAAATATTGAAAGTTTTGTTAGAGTTCTGAAATTTTCACCACCAGAACTTTAACAACACTTTAGAAGCAAAGCACCAGTGGCATTAATTAGGAAGGTTGAGAAACACTTTTAAGAGATACCGGCAAACATTCAATGCCTTGTTATAATACAAGGAGACACACAAGCATAAACAAAGGAAGCAGCCAGACTGTGAAGCTGCAAGGCTATTCAGTGCTAATTGACGTGGCCAATTGCCACATTCACACTGGCCTCAAACAGACAAGAGTTCTTTCTCCCACCCTGGACATCATTCCACAAATGCTCTGTTTCTAAAGTGTTTCTAAAGTTCTGGTGGTGAAAATTTCAGAAAACATTACAATACAATGAGACACACAAGCATAAACAAAGGAAGCAGCCAGACTTTGAAGCTGCAAGGCTATTCAGTGCTAATTGAGGTGGCCAACTGCCTAATTTCCAACAGACATCACAACCTCTGACGACACACTGGATTCCCCCAGGCAGGAAGAAGCCAGGCTTTGAAGCCGCAAGGCTATTCAGTGCTAATCAAGGTGGCCAATGGCAACATTCACACTTGCTTCAACTTGCCTAGTTTCCCCACTTGCCTAATTTCCAACAGACCTCACAACCTCTGACGACACACTGGATTCCCCTAGGCAGGAAGAAGCCAGGCTTTGAAGCTGCAAGGCTATTTAGTGCTAATCAAGGAGGCCAATGGCAACATTCACGTTTGTTTTCACTTGCCTAGTTTCCCCACTTGCCTAATTTCCAACAGACATCACAACCTCTGACGACACACTGGGTTCCCCTAGGCAGGAAGAAGCCAGGCTTTGAAGCTGCAAGGCTATTTAGTGCTAATCAAGGAGGCCAATGGCAACATTCACGTTTGTTTTCACTTGCCTAGTTTCCCCACTTGCCTAATTTCCAACAGACATCACAACCTCTGACGACACACTGGGTTCCCCTAGGCAGGAAGAAGCCAGGCTTTGAAGCTGCAAGGCTATTTAGTGCTAATCAAGGAGGCCAATGGCAACATTCACGTTTGTTTTCACTTGCCTAGTTTCCCCACTTGCCTAATTTCCAACAGACATCACAACCTCTGACGACACACTGGATTCCCCTAGGCAGGAAGAAGCCAGGCTTTGAAGCTGCAAGGCTATTTAGTGCTAATCAAGGAGGCCAATGGCAACATTCACGTTTGTTTTCACTTGCCTAGTTTCCCCACTTGCCTAATTTCCAACAGACATCACAACCTCTGACGACACACTGGATTTCCCTAGGCAGGAAGAAGCCGGGCTTTGAAGCCACAAGGCTATTCAGTGCTAATCAAGGAGGCCAATGGCAACATTCACACTTGCTTCAACTTGCCTAGTTTTTCCACTTGCCTAATTTCCAACAGACCTCACAACCACTGAGGACACACTGGATTCCCCCAGGCAGGAAGAAGCCAGGCTATGAAGCTGCAAGGCTATTCAGTGCTAATCAAGGAAGCCAATGGCAACATTCACACTTCCTTCCACTTGCCTAGTTTCCCCACTTGACCAGTTTCCAACAGACCTCACAACCTCTGAGGATACCTGCCATAGATGTGGGTGAAACGTCAGGAGAGAATGCTTCTGGAACGTGTAAACTCACCGCGACCTAATGATTCTGGCCATGAAAGCTTTGGACAACACAAGGAAATCTATCATTGTCTCCAGTTGACCATGAGTACTGTTTTGGCTGGGGCTGGAAAATGGTAATGAGATGTTCGGGCCAGCATCCCTTTGTATTCTCGATCTTTAATGAAGTGTCAGGACCCTCGTAAAAATCCCCAGCTACAACCTCTTGGTTGCAATGTCGCACACGCACACTCTCATAGGGATGCGTCACCAAGTCGTGGAGGGAAGGGGCAAGGTCCAAGGCAGAGCGCCGACTGACCATTAAATCTGCCAAAGCCAAGAATTTCGACAACAAACATGTCCCTCGAGCTTTTTGCTGCGCTAAGACTCTAAACGAGAGGAGCGAAGGAGACAAGAGTGCTGCAATTATAAAGCAATACCAGCCACACGCTTGCATCAGCAGGGAAGGGCTGCTGCAAATCAGCGTTCCAAGGAATCAGCAAGCTGTAGTTTCTCCTGGGCTCTTCTGGTTTACTCCCTGGGGTTCTGTAATCTGTCCAAACCAGGCAAACTTTCTAACTTGGGGGTTCTCCCTCTTCTCTTTTGGAGGCAGAGAGTGAAGGAAAGGCAGGAAATGCTTGGATCCTAAAGTGTGAGAGGCCTCAGTGTGAGGGAGGCCTCAGAGTTTAGTACGCCTCAGTGTGTGAGAAGGTGTGCGTAGATCCAAAGGGGTTGGCCATGGTCAGGATGAGATGGTGGATGTGAGAGAAGACCCTGTGTTACCCACTCCTGATATAAAATGCTAGAATTGGAAGAGACCCCTCCAAGAGCCATCCAGTCCAACCCCTTGCCATGTGGGGTGGGTGGGCCGTGAGGGAGTGGGTTCTCCCCAAGCCCCCCTCCCAGCCCTTTCCTCCTTTCCTCTTCTCTTTCGGAGGCAGAGAGTGAAGGAAAGATGGAAAACATTTGGATCCTAAAAAGGGGTTCAGTGTGAAAGGCCTCAGTGTGAGGGAGGCCTCAGAGTTTAGTATGCCTCAGTGTGTGAGAAGGTGTGCGTAGATCCAAAGGGATTGGCCATGGTCTGGATGAGATAGTGGATGGGAGAGAAGACCCTGCATCGCCCACTCCTGATACAGAAGAGACCCCCAAGGGCCATCCAGTCCAACCCCTTGGGTGGACCAGGAGGGAGTGAGTTCTCCCCAAGCCCCCACCCAGTCCTTTCCTCCTTTTCTCTTCTCTTTCAGAGGCAGAGAGTGAAGGAAAGGCTGGAAATGTTTGGATCCCAAAGGGGTTCACTGTGAAAGGCCTCAGTGTGAGGTAGACCTCAGTGTGTGAGAATGTGTGCGTAGATCCCAAAGGGGTTGGCCATGGTCAGGATGAGATGGTGGATGGAGAGAAGACCCTGTGTTACCCACTCCTGATATAAAATGCTAGAATTGGAAGAGACCCCTCCAAGAGCCATCCAGTCCAACCCCTTGCCATGTGGGGTGGGTGGGCCGTGAGGGAGTGGGTTCTCCCCAAGCCCCCACCCAGCCCTTTCCTCCTTTCCTCTTCTCTTTTGGAGGCAGAGAGTGAAGGAAAGGCAGGAAACGTGTGGATCCCAAAGGGGCTCAGTGTGAGAGGCCTCAGTGTGAGGGAGGCCTCAGAGTTTAGTACGCCTCAGTGTGTGAGAATGTGTGCGTAGATCCCAAAGGGGTTGGCCATGCTCAGGATGAGATGGTGGATGGGAGAGAAAAAGGGTATCCATGAGACCCCCTATTGCCCACTCCTGATATAGAATCCTAGAGCTGGAAGAGACCCCCAAGGGTCATCCAGTCCAACCCCCTGCCATGCAGGAAAGCACAATCAAAGCACTCCCAATTGACAGCCTCTGTGGGAAAGTCTCCAGAGAAGGAGACTCCACCGCAATCTGAGATAGCCTAGGCCACTCTTCAGGAAGTTCTTCCTAATCTTTTCAGTTGAATCTCTTTCCCTGTTATTTGAACCCATGGCTCCCAATCCAAAGAAGCAGGAAGTCAGTTTTCCCGCTTATCCTCCTCCACAATGGGACACCCTTTGCAATCTTGAAACATGGTTCTCCTGTTCCCACTCGACCTTTTCTTCTCCCAGCTAAACATACCCAAAGGAGGAAGGAAAAAGAGAAGGGAGGAAAGAAGGAGGGAAAGAAGGAAGAGAGGGAGGAAGGGTTGAAGGGAGGGAGGAGAAAAGGAAGGAAAGACGGGTGGAAGAAAGGAAGGAAGGAAGGAAGGACCGAAGTGTTGATGGGAAGTATGGAAGGAAGGGAAAGGAAGGAGGAAGTAAAGACAGAAGGATGGATGAATGGATGGATTGATTGATGGGAGGAAGGAAGGAAGGACAAAGAGGGAGCTAAGGGAGGGAAGGGGAAAGAAGAGAGAAGGAAAGGAAGGAAGGAAGGAAGGCAAAGAGGGAACTAAGGGAGGAAGAGGAGGAAGCAAAGGGAGAAGGAAAGAAGGAAGACGAAAAGCCGAATAAGGGAGGAGGAGGAGGAAGGAAAGAGAGGAAGGAAGGAAGAGAGGAAGAAGGAAGGAAGGAAGAAGGAGAAGGAGGGAGAGAGGGAGCAGGGAGGGAGGGAAGGAAAGAGAGAAGGAAAGAAGGAAGGAAGGACAAAGAGGGAGCTAAGGGAGGGAAGGTAGGAGGAAGCAAAGAGAGAAGGAAAGAAGGAAGGAAGGACGAAGAGGGAACTAAGGGAGGGAGGGAAGGAGGAAGGAAAGAGAGAAGGAAGGAGAGAGGGAAGGAAGGAGAAAGAGGGAGAAAGGGAAAGACGGGGGAAAGGGGGATGGAAGGAAGGAAAAGGGAAGGAGGGAGGGAAGGAAGGAAGGAAGGAAGGAAG